CTTGTTGCATAGTTCTGCTTTACCTTGGTCTTAACCATCCAGCAGAAAAGTATAAAAATGAAATATAAGAAGTAAAGCCATGCTTTTATGCTGAGCTGTAGGGGACTCAGGTCAACAATTTCTGACATTGCCAGTGAAGTGGAAGACCCAATACTATTATAGGCTACTAGACTCTTTTAGAATATTTTGCTGAGTTTACACACCTATAGTACTCTTAATGAATACAGTGATTTGTTCTAATGGTGTTTGTAAATAGGATATATTGTCCGCATCTTGTACAGCAATTAACCACTAGGAAGAATGTATGCAATGTGTTAATTATTGAAACTGTCCTACCAATTTGATTTGAAACTGTCTCGTTGTTTATCAATAAAATTATGGAAAATAAAATAAAATCAATGACACATTAGTTAATGAAATAACTGTCACTGCACTCTGTTAAGAATTTAAATCATCTCTTTTTTTATGGATTTCCTCCTCTACTCTTTTCATGACTACAAAAATCTCAGGAAGCTCCCTTCTTGACCCAATACTCACATGGCTTCATAGGAGAAAATCAGGAAGCACTTATTTTTAGAAGTTTCACATTTCTATGCTATGGACTTTAAAGGAACTATTAAGGGATAGGAACTCGTGGGGTGAAAGAGAGAGACTAAGGAAAAGCTGAGCTGGGAGACAGAGCTGGAAACACTTCTCATGGGAAGACAAGTTACAGTTAATGGTTTCAGAGTCAATATTGCACAAAATGACAGCTTAAACAGCTCTCCACAGTTGATACATCTACATTTTCTATTCTTAAAAAATGTATTTAATACAGGGTCTACAGGGTTTCACTACACAGATCAGACTTGTAATGATCTTTCCTATTTTTCAGCCTCCCAAGCACTGGGATTACAGGTGCATGCCACCACGCCCAGTCTCAGCCAATGTCTCAGCTTGCCCTGGGGGTGGGGCCAGCATGGTAGCCTAGAGATCGAACCCTGGCTGCTGCGCACTGCCTAAGCAGG